ACATGTCAGCCAGCTGCTGCTCTGGCTCTGCCGGCTCCTCCTCTCCCGTTATTCCCCAACTTTCCCCCTCATCTTCCTCTGAACTGTGACCTCCCTCAAACCCCTGTTGTACAGTGGTACCTCGGGTTACAGACGCTTCAGATTACAGACTCCGCTAACCCCGAAATGGTACCTTGGGTTAAGAACTTTGCTTCAGGATGAGAACAAAAATCGTGCGGTGGTGGTGTGGTGGCAGCGGGAGGCCCCATTAGCTAAAGTGGTACCTCAGGTTAAGAAGTTTCAGGTTAAGAATGGACCTCCAGAATGAATTAAGTTCTTAACCCGAGGTAATTCTGTAATTCTGAACTGTCTTCTTCTCTGGAAGGGTCAGGCTGGGAGGCGGTCTCCACCATTCCTCCTCTGCCCAGTCCCTGACACTTGCAGGCATCCTCTTGGCCACTGTATGAACAGGATGCTGGAAGAGATGATGGACCTCTGGCCTGATCCAACAGGTGGCTCTTGCCTCCCTACGTTTTTCTTATATTCTCCTTGAACATTTGTTCTATGAAAAATTGGTACTCTTTGCAAATCAGAGCGGAGTATCGTGAGCAACACTTGAGCATATAATTTCAACAGCTGGCACTAGTTGTGAGTCTTTGTTGCTGGACACTTCCACACCTCCGAAAGATAACTGTCCTAAACAGCCCCCCCCCCAAGGGTGGAGTGATGCTTGGCTATTGTGCCACCCAGCATGGTATCAGAGGCAGATGACAGGGTACAGCAACATTTTGCATTTCCCGGGAAGTTTGTGGAGGTGCTCCAGATCTCAGCTCTTCTTCTTCTTTTTGCTGGGGCAGGGTGGGTGGAATAAATACCACACCTTTATAAAAGGCTAAATATGGATTTCAGATTCAACCTGCCTCACGGACGGCATTTGCCTTTTTGCAGGACCTTTCCCAATGCGTTACTTGCCAAGAGAAGCATATCACGGTGAAGAAAGAGCCCCACGAGTCCCTTGGCATGACAGTAGCAGGAGGCCGAGGAAGCAAGAGTGGGGAGTTGCCAATATTCGTCACGAGCGTGCAACCTCAAGGCTGCTTGGCAAGAGACGGCAGGATCAAAAGAGGTGGGACTAGAATGGGCTCCTCAGGCAGCGTGTTGCGCTGTTCCCAATTAGCCAAAGTGCAAAGCTCTCTCGCTCTTCCACACCCCCATTGAAATGAATGGGGGGTGCCATTTCTCTTGCAAACCTCCCATTGCTTTCATTGGGAAGTTCACAGTTTCTCTGCAAAGATCTTATGGGGTAACAACTGTTCCTGTAATCATTACAAATAACATCCATTGTATAGGCAAGTTACAATAGAAGACTCCAAGCTAGATATCACATTGAATATGTGTTCCAGTATCTGAAGAATATTCCTTCCTGCCAGGGATGAATGGGATTGTAGGCTAGCCCCTTCATCCTTTCAGCATCAGTTTTAATGCTTGAGGTGTATAAATGATTTTTGGGAAGCGCTTTCCTCATCTAGCCCTTTTTATTTCCCCCCTTTCCTAATAATAATAATAATAATAATAATAATAATAATTTATTTATACCCCACCCATCTGGCTGGGCTTCCCCAGCCACTCTGGGCGGCTTCCAACAAAATATTAAAATATCGTAATATATCAAACATTAAAAGCTTCCCTAAACAGGGCTGCCTTCAGATGTCTTCTAAAAGTCTGGTAGTTGTTGTTCTCTTTGACATCTGGTGGGAGGGCGTTCCACAGGGCGGGTGCCACTACTGAGAAGGCCCTCTGCCTGGTTCCCTGTAACTTGGCTTCTCGCAGCGAGGGAACCGCCAGAAGGCCCTCGGCGCTGGACCTCAGTGTCCGAGTAGAATGATGGGGGTGGAGACGTTCCTTCAAATGAGTTCTGCATGTCTCTAAAGCAGAGACACACATTTTTTACTGTTTATATGGGGGAGGGCAGAAGGAAGAACTTTGGGGCTTCTCCCACCCCACCCTGAAAGCACACTTTGAAGGGCTTGAATTTATCGCACAACGTGCATAATTTTCACTCCTTTTTCTGGATCTGTTAGCCACGGGTAAAGAGCAAGAAGTTGTTCATGACTTAAGAGATGCATCCTCTGTGCATCGCAGAGCTGGCAACACCGCAATATCCCCATAAACGCTGTGCATCTTGTGTCACTGTTGTAAAAATCTATTGGCAGCTGACAAGCAGCCTAGCAGGTTGGACTTGCATCGCACAGGACCTACTAGCCTCATTAGGATTGGATTAGAAACAAGCCAAGATGTTTCCCCTTCCCAAAATGCAGATAACTCTGCTTATTTCCAAGCCAACCCAATTAGGCCTTTGAGAGCCTCGGAACCCCCTCTCTTCCCCCTTCAATCTTGCACTGCATCCCTTCCACCTCGCTTACCTGGCTGCTATTGATGCTTCAGCAATGGCTGCAAGTGGGAGGCAGGAAAGGAGGGAGGTCTCCCCCATCAAACCATCTGGTGCCTGGTGTGCAACATTCTGGCCTGCAAACATGTCGTTTCCCCAAAGACTGCTGACTTTGCAGTCCAGAAGTGGACGTCACTATGCCAGATGCTTCTGTTCCAACCTGGGTTTGAACCACCTTGCGTACCATCACAGGTGCATGTGCCTGTAGGGTCCAGGTGCAAGTGAGGAGCAGAAAACAACAAGCTATGCATTTGCACAGGAAAGCCACAGGTTTCTGGACCAACTAATGGCTTCTATTTTCTTTTTTCCACCAGGTGATGTGCTGATGAATATTAACGGCATTGATCTGACCAACCTAAGCCACAGTGAGGCAGTGGCCATGCTGAAAGCCAGTGCTGCCTCTTCTGTCGTTGCCCTCAAAGCTTTGGAGGTCCAGATCGCTGAAGAACAGCCCCAGGCCAATGATGAGCAGCCCAGCACCATCAGTGAGAACGAATACGATGCAAGTTGGTCCCCATCATGGGTTATGTGGCTGGGGCTTCCCAGGTACTGCTCGACAATCAGACAACCCTACTTTGACTTGTGGTCTTCTGCATTTCTGGCATTTTTGTTTGGCCAGGCCTCTGGAGTAGCCTTTAGGCCACCCGATTAATATTTCTTAGTTAAAAAATCAGTGCACCGCCCATTTGCGAGTGCACATCTCTTCTATGTCTTGGTCTGGCTTTGCATCTAGTGTGCCATATTGGAGAATGCAGAGTAGCACCACACAGGAGAAGCAGACCTCTCTTCTGTGACTGTTGGAAAGGGAGGCCCACAGCACCCAACTGCAGTGTCCTCACCCTAACAGGGAAAATGCATCCCAAAAACGAGCAACAGAGAGAACATTGATTAGCATAACATTTGCATATTATAATTTATGGGCAATATTCAAAAATTATACTCGGAGCAGACCTGTTGGAATTATTAGACCTAACTTACTCGGGTTCATTAATTCCTGTGGGTGCACTGTGGATGCTCGGGTTGTGAACGTGATCCGTGCGGGATGCATGTCCGCAACCTGCAGCAGCGTGCATGTGCGGGTTGCGATTCAGCGCATCTGCACAAAGCGCAATTTAGTGCTTCTGCGCAACCGCTGAAACCCGGAAGTAACCCGTTCCAGTACTTCCGGGTTTTGGCGGTCCGCAACCCGAAAAAACGCAACCTGAAGCATCTGTAACCCGAGGTATGATTGTACTCTGAATAAAATTGAGCTGAGTACCACCTTATGAGAGGGATTCACCTAACATGCCCCATCAATAGAAACCCGTTGCTTGTGCAATGGGGCTTTCCCCCTCTACTCCCTTCCCATGTCCCCTGAAATTGGCAGTAGGGATTTGGAAGAGCCCCCAGAACAGCACAGGATAGGAGGGGGGAAGGACTGTTCTGTCCGGCAAGCAGCAATGATTGCACAAATGGAACATTCATCGTAGTGTGATGTTGAATTCTACCTGTTAGGTGTAGATTAGAAGAGATTACTAGGGTAGATTACGGTAGTACATTATACATGGGGCTGCCTCTGAAGATAGTTCAGAAACTTCCACTGGTGCAGAATTCAGTGGCCAGGTTGCTCACTGGGGTAGGACAGTTTTGTGTATCTAATGCCAACCCTGGCTTGACCTTACTGGCTGCCAGTTCGTTTCCAGGCCTAATTCAAAGTGCTGGTTTTTGACCTATAAAGCCCCAACACCTCAAAAACTGCCTCTCCCTATATGAACTGACCCAGATCCTGGGATGATGTTGAAGCCCTTCTGTGTGTGCCTCCTCCACGGGAAGCCTGGAGGGCAGCAAGCTGAGAACGGGCCTTTTCTGCAGTGGCTCCCTGCTTGTGGAATGCTCTCCCCAGGGAGGCTCACTTGGTGCCTTTGTTAAATATCTTTAGACACCAGGCAAAACAATTCCTCTTCACCTAGGCTTTTGCTAATTAAACAATCTATGACCTTTTAAGGGACGCAGGTGACACTGTGGGTAAAACCTCAGTGCCTAGGACTTGCCGATCGCATGGTCGGTGGTTCGAATCCCCGCGGCGGGGTGCGCTCCCGTCGTTCGGTCCCAGCGCCTGCCAACCTAGCAGTTCGAAAGCACCCCCGGGTGCAAGTAGATAAATAGGGACCGCTTACCAGTGGGAAGGTAAACAGCGTTCCGTGTGCTGCGCTGGCTCACCAGATGCAGCTTGTCACGCTGGCCACGTGACCCGGAAGTGTCTGCGGACAGCGCTGGCTCCCGGCCTATAGAGTGAGATGAGCGCACAACCCTAGAGTCTGGCAAGACTGGCCCGTATGGGCAGGGGTACCTTTACCTTTATGACCTTTTAAACTGTGCGTGGAGGGGGGTGGAATTGTTGTTTGTTACTATGTTATGTGTTTTTGCATTTTTATATTGTAAATTGCCCTGTGAACCTCACATGAAGGGTGGTATAGAAATTTTATAATAATATTATTTTCACAGCTGCCTGCATAGTTGCCATGATGTTGTGCTACGGAGGAGCAATTTAGCAAGCTGGGGCTTTAGCATTGTCGGCGGCTATGAGGAAAATCACACAAATCAGCCTTTCTTCATAAAAACAATTGTCCTGGGAACACCAGCGTATTTCGACGGAAGACTCAAGTAAGCTGTTCTGGTTCTTTCTTTTTATGTGTATCTGAAACAAGGAAGGACAATAGCTAGAGCTTGTATGTGATTCTGCAAATTCTTTGGGTCCCTGAAACCCCTGGCAGTCTCCACACAGAGAACAAACGGAGCACTTTCTATTCTTTTCTCTCTTTTTGGTTGGGGAAATCTCTCCTTGTTCACTCCCTGCGGTGACGCTATGCCTGCTAGTAAACGCCACAGGGACCCAGAGGATGTAGCTCTCTCACCGGTTTCCAAACAATCTAAAATAGAGGACTTTTTTAACAAATCTGCTTTTACAGTTCCAACAAAAAACCGGTTTTCTCCTCTTGAAGATGATTGTGAGTGTGGGGAGAGTATTCAAGGTGAGAGCGTGGAACTGGATCCAGCAATGGGGCAAGCTGATCCTGTGCTCCTCAGAGAGGAAGAAATAACAAGGAGGGAGAGCTCCCAATTAACTCTAATTGCAAGAACGGTTGAGCATATCTTCCAGCAAATTAGAGGTCTTGCCTCTCAAATAACCCAGTTATCCAAAGAGGTCCACAGTTTATCAGTTAATAACAAGCAGGCATCAACAGAACACCATAGTACCAAAGGAAATTGGCGACAACAAGAGCAGACCCCTAAGCTCAACATAGAATGCGCAGAGGCTCTTAAAACAAACTCTTCTTGTTTAACCTTCCAACCAAAAAAGATCTGCATGACAATTTGTGGAAGGCCAGATCAAACTCCTAGCTGGAAAGGTGCCCAGCGTTCCAAACGACATTTATCAGACTTACTTGGCATTGGACTTACAGAGATCGACCTCGTTAGGACTGAACTCTTGAGTACCACAAATCAAAGCAAAAAATGTTGTTAACTTTTTCCTCTACTAGACTGCCCTCACTAATTCACAAGCTGAAATTCAGATTGTCAAGCAGAGGAGTTTTTCCAACCCGTGTATTCTGCAATTCTATTGTTGCACCCTTATGTAAGATGAGGACTGGTGCTTCAGAGGGGCCCACAAAACCAAAGCCTGGATCCCCAATGGAAGTAATGACATCACAAAAAGACTTGGCAGGTGGGGAGGAAACAGACATGCCTGAGTTGAATCCACAGGATCATGCCCAACATCAAAATAACCAGGTGAGCCAAAAGGAACAGCCGATTCCTCTAGATAATCATCTTCAGGAATCTGAGCACTCTGTAAATCCATTGGAAGAGGATTTCCTCAGCTCCTTTAGGAATCTCCCTCAGGAAGAGCAACAAACAGTTATCAAGAGGCTTGACCTTATGAGCCAGACATTGAAAGAGATTAAAGAACCGGAGGCAGAGACTGATAATAGACCCAATGGCCACAACAGAATGATAACTATAGAACCACCAGAGTATTGGACAAAGATGAGATATTTGGAAGAGGAGGAGTCAGGAAATACACCCAAGAAATCCCCACTGGCAAACAATTTGCAAAGAAAAGGCCCAGTGATTACAAATGTGAGTACTTTATGTACGACGACTGAAATAATCGAACATCTGGATTATTCCACTAGCATTAGCAATAACCTGCCTCAAAAACTGGTAAACTCCGAGAGCACATCGACCAACAATTGACTAAGAGTAAATCACTGTAAAACAATTAAACTTCTCTCATGGAATGTAACAGGGTGGACGAACAAGATCCAAGACAGTGACTTCTGTTCTTATCTACAAACACATGATACAATCTTTCTTCAAGAAACCTGGGCAAAAGAGGGCACTATGGTTGAATTACAGGGTTTTACAAGTTACACTCAACCAGCTCTTAAAACTGTAAAGTATGGAAGGCCTAGTGGGGGGCTGGCGGTGCTGGTGTCAACCTCTCTTAATGTATCAATTCAACAGTGTCCCTTGCTGACCACCCCAAATTTTTTAGTGTTGTCCCTTTCTGATAGTCTCCTGAGAAATACTTATTGCATATGTGTGTATATACCTCCAGTAAAGTCTTGTGGGGAACTGAGATCATATTGGGATAAACTTGACCAACTACTTGAAAGTATTGACTCTCTGTCACCTAACCCTCGGATTATCTTGGGAGGTGACTTCAATGCCCGGATCGGCCTTGTTTCCCCACAAAATACAATATTATCTGGTCTAAACTTGGAGGATGAACCTGAAATCTGTCAGAGGGCAGCAATGGACACCACCTCTAATCGCGCTGGGAAACATCTTTGTGAACTTATAATAAAGCATAACCTTTTGTTATGCAATGGGCATGGTCAAGGGGATCAAGAGGGTTATTTTACTTTTACCTCCCCCAGAGGATTTACTAGCACCATAGATTATATCCTAACATCTAATAATGTGCCAGTTAACCGAGATACCTTCAGGATAATTCCTAGAGCTGAAAGTGACCACTTTCCACTTGAGTTATCTCTGACATTATTCTTTTCTCCTGCCTTTCCTAAATTATTGGATGAAACAGAATATCTGATACTTGGAAATAGAAGGTTAAAATGGAATGCACAGGTCCAAGAAAAAATGATTCAGATCCTGGATTCCCATGAATTTGCTTTATTAAAGGGGAAAATGTTGTTAGAAACAGGAAACGTAATTGGACTTTATGAGAACATAATCAACCAAATGCGCCCACTGATGACCACAGCTAGTGTGATAAAAAACAAAAAGTTTAAGAGACAGACTTGGTTTGATAAGGAATGTCAGAATAGCAAAAAATGCCTAGCTAGGGTACTTAGAAAATTGAAGTTAAAACAGGATAAGCACAATCTTGCCCTACAAGCTGAGGTAGCCCAGTTACGAAACAACTATAAATTATTACTTAAAAGCAAGAAACAAATATATTATGAACAACAGTGGAAAGAATTGGGAGATGCAGCACTTCAGAAGGACTCACGGAAATTTTGGCATCTGGTTGCCCAAGGCACAAATGGGCTGGGCTACTCGTTAGAAGCATCTGTCCAAGGAAAGGATTGGGTGACATATTTTACAGAAATATATGGCCCCTGTCCTGACTCACCCCACAAGTTTACTATACCCAGTTATCAGAACTGCCAGAATGGCCAGACGTCACGCCCAATCAAATTAAGAGGCTAATCGCAAGCCAACTAGCTAATAAAGCTCCAGGAGAAGACATGATCCCAATGGAGATCTATAAAATAAGACCTGATTTCTGGTCACCCATATTTGCAAAATTGTTTTCATACATTAACAGCTCAGGTCGTATACCTGAAGGGTGGAAGTTGAGCATAATTGCCCCAATATATAAAAAGGGTGATAAGAAAAACCCTGCCAATTATAGACCCATTAGTTTGTTAGATGTAGCCTCCAAACTATATGCCAGGCTCCTTCTTGGGAGACTAGAAGAATGGGCAGATACAAATAAGGTGATATCTGAAGTCCAGGCAGGTTTCCAAAGAGGGAAATCCACATTGGACCAGTGCTTTGTGCTGAACTTTCTGCTATGTAAATACATCCATAACTTGAAGCAAAAATTATATGTTGCTTTTATCGATCTAAAGTCAGCTTTTGATACGGTCCCAAGACACGCTTTGTGGCAAAAACTGGAAAAGACAAATATAGATCTCCGTCTATTATTTCTCATCAAAACATTATATACTGACACATCAATACAAGTAAAGGTGGATCTGGCTGGCCATCTCACCACTAGAATTAAGACCACCACTGGAGTCAAACAGGGATGCATTTTGGCACCTTTCCTGTTCAATTTTTATATTAATGACATGGTTAAAGAACTGGAGGGCCTACAGTTTGCCCCTGTCACAATTCTCGACCAAAAACTCTCAGTTTTAATGTATGCTGATGACCTAGTACTTGTATCTAGAACCCAGGTGGGCCTGAGACGGCTGCTTGCAAAATTAAGTTCATATTGCATGAGGAATGCTTTATCTATAAACTATGACAAGACGCAGGTCATTGTATTTGGGAAGCGTTCCAAAAAGCATGTTTGGCACCTGGATGAACACATCATAAACCAAGTAAATACGTTTAAATATCTGGGATTGATTTATTCAGAAACGGCATCTTGGAATACACAGCTATCCAATATCAAATTGCAAGCCTTTAAATCAGCAAAAGCCATTCTGAAATTCGCTGCATGTAAAGGTGGAAATCTGGTCAACCCAGCTCTATCTGTGTATAAAGCAAAACAATGGCCCAGATTTTATATGGCGCAGAGGTTTGGGGTACCTCAAAGGTCTCCGGTTTGGAACCCCCACAGAATTATTTTTTAAGAGTTCTTTTAGGTTTACCCAAAGACGTGCAATCTGCCATGGTCAGGTTGGAAACTCACATGTTGAGCATAGAGAGCCAAATAGATAAAAGAATTCTCTGTTACTGGTTTAGAGTTCAACAGATGGACAACACTAGGCTACCAAAAAAATGCCTGATTGAGCTCTCAAATGGATTACCCCTTAAAAACTGGGTACATCATGCTGCCCAACTGATGGGCAAATATGACCTCTCAGTGACTGAGATTAAAGAACTCCCCTTATATTCACAGAAAAATATTTTTAAACGAACCATAAGGGCAGTGGCAACTAAAAACGATCTAAACTCTATGTGCACATCTACATGCGCCCCATGGTATTTTAAACTTAGAGAGGTCAATGAACATATATCTTATTTTAATGAATTGACTTTTGCACAGCTTCGAAAAGCTTTTACAGAGCTACGACTAAATACAATAAGCTCTGCTTATAGAGATGGGAGACATAGAGGCATACCAAAAAACGAACGTGTTTGCATTAGGGGATGTTCTGAAGTAGAGGACCTTATGCATTATATCTTGCACTGTCCGTTATATAATGATGCAAGAAAAAGATTTTTGGTACCTATAATGACAGGGTCCCCTGGCCAGAACCCCCTCGATATGATGTTATATCTCCTTGCAGACACAGATAAGTATGTGACCTGGCGGGTAGCACTTTTTGCAACTGCTGCCAGGAAAATTAGAGCAAATTATATAGCCAAGGTAGCCATTAACTGTAAAGGAGATGAATTTATTTGATCCTATCTATCTACCTCAGGCTATGCTCTATCTTTGTCACCAAACTCTGAGTATAAATTGCACACTGTATTAATTGATATTGTTTTTAACATTAGTGACCATGTGATGATTTTAGCTTATGAATTTTATTGTTTAATGTTTTTATTTGTACATTGGGGTACTTTTATAGCTTTGTTTAGAGTATGTAATGTTTTAATAATATAAATGTTTTAAGCCTTTTTTTACCAATTCAGTATATTTACTTTTAACTGTCAAATAATTCTGTGTACATTGCGGCAGCCTTTGGCTATGTGCAATAAAACTGACTGACTGACTGACTGCAAATTCTTTGTGACATTCTGTGGAATGTTTAGATTGTGTGCTCTAAACGTATTCCTGTGTAAATTTATAATGTGTTTGTACTGAGCTTATTTGCATGTCCATTCTTTTTTCGTACACAACATAGTCACCTTTCAAAACTGATAGTTTTTTTTTAAAAATGAAAATGTTTATCCACCAAGGTTAGGGCATTTAGGGTTGATTTCAAGTAAACTAGCTGAAAATAACAACCTTGTGAGTGAAGGTAAGCCAGGAACCTTGTCTTAATAAACCATAGGTGCAGAAGCTGTGTACTAGCACACAGCACCCAATTGCTTTTTAGAACTGTTGTTTTCTCTTACGCAAATGTATGGAGATTTAAGCCATAGAATTAATCCGTCACAGTGCATTCCTGTGTGTGCCTGTTCAGTAGTACATCCCAGGGTCGTGAATGATCCCAGGGTTAGGCTACCGCGACTGCGTCATGTTACTAGCCCTCACTAGCTTCTCTCCCTCTCTATCTCTGTCTTTTAGATGCGGCGATATGATTGTTGCTGTCAATGGACTTTCAACCGTGGGCATGAGCCACTCAGCACTGGTTCCTATGCTGAAGGAACAGAGGAACAAAGTAACATTGACAGTTATCTGCTGGCCAGGAAGTCTTGTATAGACTAGCAAAAAAGGAAAACAAAAGGAAAACAAACACCACTTTGATTCAAGCAGCTTAATTTTTCTAGATGGCTGGTTCAAAATCTTCAAGCTGTGTTTTCTCTCTCCCCACCCCCTTTTCTACTACTTATGCAGCTGGTAATAAGCTGGGCCAAAAACTGCTACATTCATACTTTGCGGGGGAGCTAGGGATGGGAAAGGAAGACTCTCAACCTCACTGTGTGTCTCTTTCCATCTCAAAACCACCATTTCTGCCATGTTTGTTGTGTTTTTGCTTTGCTTTGTTTTTCCACAAGTTGTCCCATCCAAGCATCCACGTGCACAACACACTTTAGGGCAGGCATAGGCAAACTCGGCCCTCCAGCTGTTTTGGGACTACAACTCCCATCATCCCTAGCTAACAGGACCAGTGGTCAGGGATGATGGGAGTTGTAGTCCCAAAACAGCTGGAGGGCTGAGTTTGCCTCTGCTTGCTTTAGGGCCATGGAGGGGTTGCTTGCAGAGGACAGCTTTCCCCAGCGACCCTAGTGTTTATATTCAACCAACCAGCACGATGGCATGCCAGCATGTCCAAGGCCAGCTTTGCTGATCCTGCTGCTGCTGCTAAGTGTTGGCCCAATTGTACAAGCAGGATCCAATCTGCAAGCTGGATCTGAGGGCTTGAACTAGGCAGGATGAAATGTGCAAGCAGACTCTTGTCACGCAGGACTCTCAACGGTAGCCCCCAACTCCAATAAAATATATCCGATTTTGCTTCCCCATGTTGTGGACACCATCACTTGGGAAAGAAGCTTTTAAGAAGCACCCTTTCCTGTGGTTAAGGTGTGCTCTTGAGCATTCAACCAGAGAACGGTCGTACAAGTTGAATCCTATGTCTTGCAATCCCTATGTCTCTATCAGAAGGGGGCAATTCCTTGTGTTATGGGAGCAGCAGCTGGCACAGTGGGTAGGGGGCATGGAGCCGCCCTGCTGGCCGTGGTGCTGCTGCTGCTTACCTAGACAAGGTGGAGGCAAGCTTGGGACTGTGCAACCACACTGGTGGAAGCACTGCATTGGTTACACTGGCTCAGCCCTTCCCCATCCCAGCAGGCAACTCAGCTGTTGGGAGGTTGGTGTCATGCTGGCCACAGCTAATCACGGCTCCAGCAAACAAGCTGCAGGCAACTGTACAGGGGAAGGGGCCATAGCTCAGTGGCAGAGCAGATGCCTTGCATGCAAACAAACCCAGGTTCAAAGCCTTGCATCTCCCAATAAGGCTGGAAAAGCCCCCGGGAATTTAGGGTGGTATTCAAAGTTGCACCAAGCAGATCATTCTGTCAGCGCAAGCATTTCTGCTTGCCAGACAGAATGATCTCCCTTTTCCTCCCTCTGCGTGCTCTCCCGGCCATTCTCCTGACCGTCCCAAGTAGATTCTGGGAGGAGAGAAATCCTGTTGCGCTAGCGGGACTCATTGCACTGCCTTCCACTAGCACAGCACCATGTCACCTGCCACCACCATGAGATGCAGCACTGGCATGGAAATCCAAGATGGGGGGCAGGGGAAGACCATGAGGTGAGTTTTGTCCCACAAAATCATTTGTGCCAGGAAACTCCACATCACCACTTGTAGTGTATGAACCTGTCCCTAGTTCCATGCGATCAGCAGGCCCATGTTTCACTGTCAAGCATGGCAGCCGGAGTTTGCCACCCAGTTAGTATCGGCCCCTAGGCTGCGGCTGCTATTTGATTTAAGTCATGAACACATCAGTGCACCACCAGTCAGTGAGATCTGCACTGTGTCCTGAGTTGTTTCTGCATCAAATGCGTAACCGTGCACACATTCTCCATGCATCGTCTGCGCTGTGCTACGGACAAGGTTGTGAACCCGCTGTGATAAACCAAAATCCTGTAATCTGAATAAATTATGAAAACTTGCAAGTATATGTCTGTGCTTTGCATAATTTATTCTGCTAGTCATATGGTGAGATGGGGAGCCACGCTGCAGAATGAAGCTCCAGCTCAGTGCCGCTAGAAGTTTGCCCCAGACTTCCAGGATTTACTCAACACCAATTCAAATTAATATCTTCGGTCATAAGGTTTAGAAACTTGCTTTTTCTTTCTTTAAATGAAAGGCGAGATTCCTGTGATGCTAATACACAATGCCCCTTCTCATTCCTGCGCAACGCTGTTGCAGGATGCTCAGAATTGACACAGGCCTGGTTGTGATTACATTGGGTGGTTTCCAATATTCAGCTTTAGATTGCAGATAAGTGCTGGTGCAACCACTGTAAACGTGGCTGTTCTGGTTTAAGATCAGTGTCTGCACCAGGTCACCCCATTCATGATGTGAGTGGTAGAGGGTATCTTGCAACCTCCCCCCTCCCCACTGTATTGGACGTATAGTTGTTATTAGGGTAGGTAAGTGGCATCCTGGCAAAATTGGCGAATTCTCTATGATATATATATATATATATCAATCAAATGATCCTCTAGTTCCCTTTTCCGCAGAACAAGATTTGACAACAAGATGCAGCAACCGGTATCTTTTTGTAATTCGTAATACAAGTTAAACATAAAACAAAGGGGCAGACACTTACAAACATTTTCATATTCACCTACCATAGTCTTCCATAATCTTCTAAAAGTGTGTCTTTTTGTAAGAAGCCATTTTCATCCCATAGTTTTATTTGCAGGTCATCCGTTCTCATGAAGTAGGACAAAAGCCTGGATTTTTTTAAAAAAGAAAATAATAATAATAATAATGAAGTGCAATAATTAGATTATTTCTTAGCAAACTATTTAGTATATGAAAAGGTTTGTACCCTACAATGAAAGCTTAACGTTGATGTGATTACTAAGAATGCTGGCAATTATTTTAAAAGGGGGGGGAGGTGACCTTTGATCTGTTAGTGTCTACTAATAATTACTGTTCCAAAGTGAATGTTTTGCTATGTAAGAATTTTGATGAAACGCTTTTTTCTAAAAACCATTTTTACAGTTTATACTGCAGCTGTCTTTAGCTCTCTTGAGTGGATTGTATACAAAACCAGAGACATGATTTAAGCAAAGGGGGAAGCTGTTGCTAAGTGTTCTACGTTACTACAATTTCAGGAAGTCCAAAGGAGAGATTTTTTTCTATCTTGCTTTTCCCCCCAAGCTGAGAGAAGGAACTGCACCCCCCAAGCCCTTGCTCTGTCATCTGCTGACAAAAGCCCAAATGCCTTCACGTGAACTGCTGGGAAAACAATCTGTCGTCTTTTTGCGGAATAATTTTATCGGCGAATCGCCTGTCATTCAGCCGATGACAGCTACCTTAATTTCTACCTAGAGTTGACTCACGTTTACATTTCTAAACCAAACTGCTAACTTCTCGCATGTTTCAGTCAGTCTGTGCGACTTGGACACAAAGGACACCCTTTTGTAAGGTGCTCCTATGTTTGCTCCTGAGTGGGTCTAGATTTTTGCTTGGGTCAGGGGTTTTGCCTGCTTAAAAAATGCAACCAAGGTCCAAAAACGGTCAGCCGATTTCATCAATTATCTCTGTATTATATGAAGCTTGTATTAATGATCGGAGAATGTATTTCAATCCCATTACATCTATCCATTGTGAGGCATGAGATTCCCCCCCCTTTTTTCTCCCCCCCTCCCAATTTAGAAGCTGTGTAATGCAGGATATTACAGCATGTCATTTCCACCCCCCACCCCCCGAAAGTACCTTTGTTCATAATAAAACTACAGACCTTTGATTTTTTTTTAAAAAAAGAAAAGACCACTTCTCTGTATAATAGGAAATTATTTTGCTTTCATGCTGTAGATTCATGCAGTATAATACTGTGTTAATTTTACGCATTTGTGAATGTATTAGCCCAGATGCATACAATGGTAGACCTCCTCCATAGGGCAGGATCCACAGTTACTTTGGCTTGCAAAAGGTATTGGCACTCACTCTCTAGAATGCTTTCTCCGAACAACCAATTCCCACGCTTTATGACAGGGTGGGGGGAAATGTGGCCCTTCAAGACTCATTACCAGGCTCTCATGGGGACGGGGGTGGCGCTGTTGTCTAAACCACTGAGCCTCTTGGGCTTGCCAATCAGAAGGTTGGTAGCTCGAATCCCCGTGACGGAGTAAGTTCCCGTTGCTCCGTCCCAGCTCTTTTCAAACTGCCAAACCAGCAGTTTGAAAGCACACCAGTGCAAGTAGATAAGTAGGTACTGCTGCAGCGGGAAGGTAAACTGCGTTTCCGTGCACTCTGGTTTCCGTCACAGTGTTCCTTTGCACCAGAAGCAGTTTAGTCATGCTGGCCACACGACCTGGAAAGCTATCTGTGGATAAACGGCGGCTCCCTCGGCCTGAAAGCAAAATGAGCACTGCAACCCCATAGTCTCCTTTGACTGGACTTAACCGTCCAGGGATCTTTTACCTTTACCCTATCAGGCTGTCATGTAACACACCCTTCCCAGTCACACCCATTACTGGCTCTGCTTTGCACTGTCCTTGAGTGTTTTTAGCCTGCTGGAATATGTTCTTGAACTCTGACGATGCCTCTCGTTTGTTTGCCTGCCTGGATGGAGAACAAGCAGGTGTGCACGGAAACTTTGCTGTGCAAAGTTAAAATTTGCATTCATTCTCAGGCTCACCTTTGCCTCTGGCCCTGCCGGCCACTGGCATGTGGTCCCCAGAAGGTTGAGTAGAAAGGAATGCTACTCTTGGGTGGAAAACATTTCCCCACCCTGCTTTATCGGAAGCTGCTTCTGAATTTCCCCTCAATTTCAAAAGCAGTTTGCCATGGTGGTGCACGGAGGGGTGCGTGCTCTTGTTGCAAGGTCAACATTAGCAAAGCTTCTTGTGGATCCATCCAATTTCAGTTTAATGGTCCTCTACATCCTGTGTAGGGCTGTAGCACAGCCGCAGAGCATCGGCTTTCCCTGGGAAAAGTTCCGAGCTCACTCTCCCAAACCTCCAGGTAAGGCTGAGAATACCCCTGCCTAAAACCCTGGAGAACTGAGGCTAGTCCTTTGCAGAGCTACATAGACCAATAGCCTGATCTCAGTATAACACAGCTTTCTATGTAAGTGATTAGGGGGCACCTTAAATGCATGGTGCACCTCAGGATCCCTTGTCCACAGTAAATATCTGGCTTGGCAGCAGGCAAGTGAGAGGGTACATCATGGCTGTGGATGAAACAAAGCCAGTACAACAATTACATGGAATGACAAGGTATCACCGTTGCACAGCCATTATGGGCAGGTATGGAGGCACCAAGGTTTGAGAACAGGATAAAGCCCTCTTTTTTTAATATATATTTTTAAATTTTTCATTAATAACACTTCAATATGGGCCACATTATTACAATGTCAAATCATACCAAATCATAATACAATTTATAAAGCCAATTATACATCCCAAATTAAACAATTCGGTGACTTCCCGTGTACTGATCGTCCAGAGATAATTATTTCTAGGTCCTGCGCATATAATCCAAATACAGCAATTCCGATCTTGATCCTTTCTTCTATTTTTGCAGCAGCTGGTGTACTGACTTTCACTCATATTCCAAAAAATCCATAGCCATTAACTAGGGTGAATGAGTGTCATCCCATCATCTTCCCAAAAGCTTGTGGGTGTGGTGAAGTAACCTTTGAGGTTTAATGCAACACTTTGCAAATAATTTCACTGCAGGCTACGATAAAGCCTAACAGGTGAGGAAGCATACCTGCTCCACCTGATACATTCTATGTGAAACGGGGGCATCGCACTGAATTCATTATTATTTCTTCTTCTTCTTCCGCCCATTTGACTGGGTTGACCCAGTAAAATGTCCTCTTACACAGACAAAACCAAAGTGTTCCTTCCTCTGAATGCTTGATCTAGTAATTGCAAGCAATGCAGCTAGACTTCCCGTTCAGGGGAGCTACTGCTATTGTTCATGATCTTTGGTAATGAAAACTAGTTTGGTGTGGGTTCTCTCTCCCTTGTCCTGTTGATACATAGACAAATTTCCTTCCTTTATAGTGTTGTAGTCTATATGATTGGGTTTGTTCTGCTGTGCCTTCCGTCTTAAATGATGAGATTCAACAGTGTCATATATAAACTGAAGGATTGGAGATTTTTTTAAAACCCATTCTCCCTTAACAAAAATATTATATTCATTTACATTAATTAAATTAAATTATTTATATTAATAAATAAATAGAAATAAAAATGTGCACCCCACCCCCAAGACCATTCCATTATAACTATCCAACCTCCCAAAATGACAACACTTTGCATTTCTTGTTTTCCCTTAACAACTTCTTTGTCCATTGCTCCAGTTGTATACAGTTAAAGCAAGTTATTTTACTTCCTGTTAGAGCTTCTATTATTTGTTATTTGCTTCTCATTTTCTCCACCCATTCCTTTATTTCAAGTATTTTCTTCTCTTTCACTTCTTTTTCAGTGTCCTTTTTAAAATTTGCTGGGAAATCTTCTATCATCACCACCGGGGTTAGTGGGGAATTTACCGGTATCTGTTTTCCTTTATATTTTGCCCATATCTCAATGATGTTTCTTAATAAGGGATTTTTAATATTCTGCCACCAATGCCTATTCTGTTTGACAGAAAATATATTCACTAATTTCTCCTTCATTTTCTGTGTACCACTCTTTAACCATGCTAACTCTCCTTGTGTTATCCCATCTATAATATATCTTAACTTATTTGCTATATAACTTTATGTTGCGGAGACCTAGTCCACCTATTTTCTGGGATTAAGACCATCTTCTTTTATTAATTCTGGGTTTCTGATCCCCATTACAAAATTTATTAATCATACTTTGCCAACCCTTCATCTCTGTCTCCGATATCTTAATTGGCAACATTATAAATAAAAAATATATTCTAGACAAAATTTTCATTTTAATTATCACTATTCTTCCAAACCATGAAAGCTTAATTTTATTATATTCCTCCAGTTTTCCCTTAATTTCCCTTTTTAATTTGTTAAAATTCTCTTGTTCTAAATTTCTAAGTTTCTTGTTATATTTATTCCCAAGTACTTTATTACATTTCTTAATTTTATATCTATTTTTTTTTCTTCAGAAGTTTTCGGTTTTCATCTTCATCGTAATTAAATCTCATAATCTCTGATTTGGACCAATTAATTTGCAACCCTGCTATTTCTCTAAAAAAATTCAAATGTGGTTCTATTACCTGCATATTTTCCAACAGATTGTTTGCAAGATCTCATCTGCAAATAAGCTTATTTTCTCTTTTCCTTTATTGCTTATTCCTTTTATATTTCCATCTTCTCTAATTACATTGGCCAGAGTTTCAATGACCAATACAAATAAAATTGGGGAAAGGGGCATCCTTGCATTGTATCTTGGGCTAGTGTTATTTGTTCTGTTATACCATTGTTCACTACGACATATGCCTTGTTCCCCAAGTATAATTGATCTAGTAATCCTTTAGATCGTTCTCCAAATCCTAAACTTTCTGTAATTATTTTTAACACCGGCCATTCTACACTGTCAAAAGCCTTAAAGATATCCAATGCTACTATACCAGCTTTCAATTTATTTTTTCTTATTATATCTATTTTATTCAACACTCTTGCTGTTAAACTAGACATCTGTCTTCCTGATACAAAGCCACATTGGTTTTTATTTATATATTTACACATGAAATTATTCATCCTTTTTGCCATTATTGCAGTCAATATTTTAGCATCTTGATTTATTAG